ATGATAAATATCATAAAGCCTGCCATTTGAAATAAATAAGACCAGAAGAGTGATTCAAGGATGTAAATGAGACAGACACATAGGTAGAAAAAAGATGAGGTTGGTACTGTGGAATTAGTCGAATATGACATAGTGTGGGGTGATGGTAGTTTAAAGTGAGAATTCAACTGCCAGTTAATAGACATTTTTGCCGTATGATTATACGTTGCCCAGGGTGCACCACGGACTCTTTTGCCGTGTATACGTTGCCCAGGGTGCACCAGTTTGTTTGCCGTATGAGTATACGTTGCCCAGGGTGCACCACGTGATAGACATTTTTGCCGTATGATTATACGTTGCCCAGGGTGCACCACGTGGGGGGCAAGTCTATCGCACACCCATGATTAAAATATACCTAAAATTAGACACTCTGTTGGAGCGACAAAAAAATTTACTTATTTCTCTTCTATTCTTAAGGTCTCGATCGAGACATGAATCTCTGGAATTTGGATGACGTGACGTGTATAACAAGCGGTGCAGGGAATATCTCTGAGCTCTCTTGGTCAATGATGCGAACCGGTATTGGGGGTTGTGTGGTGTGGCCCCGGGTGGGGGATAATTTTTTTGTCGGTAGACAGGAATACCTTTTCCCCTTCTGCAGCAACGCCAAAGTCAACACCGCAGTCTCTGTCTCTGCCTTGAAAGCACCCACTGATGTACCCTCGCGTATGCGCAACTTCACAATTTGGTTCCCCACGGTTTCGCCCAATGGTTGTTGTCGGTACTGCTTTGATCGGGGATTTGAAGCTGTTACTGTAAGTCACTAAGTTTGCATTATTGTGGGTGAGTAGGTATTATAACGGATTGGCAACTTCGGTTGAAATATAGAAAGACCTCAGTGAGAGAGCTAGACTTCCCCGGATGACATTACTTTATTACACTACAGTTGCTTAGGTAGACAAACTAGACGGATTTTAGTACATGATGAAGTTAGGCTTATGTCCCCATAACCCCAGAGGCAGTCCATCATGTTGCTAGGCCCTCTTATGGCCCGGCTATAACAGACGGCTCCATAAAACCATAAAGCAATGGGTTGTTGTCTTCCTTTCCATTTTTATTAGATACCCTGGTGGCTTATTTATTGCATATACTGCATACTTCATATCACTCGATAATTCGCCTAAGGTATTTATAACAAATGGCAGGCGTTTTGATAATTATCATTA